CACTAGCTCTACGTGCTCCCTACGCCCGACGCACAGACGGTGCTCAGGCGGAGGAGGTGAGGAGAAGCTCGCACCACCGCTTCCCGTATTTCGCCCGTTGACGCCGGGGATACTCCCGCACTTGCGCAATCGATTCTCGAACGACTCTGGCCCCCGCATCGTCGCACATAACCAGGTCGATACGCCCGGGTCCGTCGCAGCACTTGGACAGGAAATCCGACCACCCACGCCCGCAAGGTACCTTTATACCCTCTGCCTCGTCCAATCGTCGTGCATGTCTCTGTCGGGGCTTCTTAGCGTCTCCGTTCGGCCGAAGACTGTGTGCTTTCATCGGCGGGCATTCCGATCATCCGCTATCACCTCCAAGGCTCTCGCCTTCTCTCTGAACAACGTCGCATCGAGCGTAGTGAAGCCTAAGGCAGTCGTTGACCATGGCGAAGCGAAAGTGCTGCGAATGCTCATGTTCGGCAAGCCCGGCGCTGGCAAGGGGACGCTCTCGGGACGATTGGTGAAAAAGTATGATGTCCTGTCTTTATCGAGCGGCGACCTACTTCGGCAGCATATTGCTGAACGGTGAGCACTATGACGTCAAGTGTTAGAGCATCCATTGAACATTTCAAAGGACGGAGGTTGGATTGATGGCAAAAGAGATCGTCGCTTCTGGCGGACTACTGCCAGACGATATCATGTTGAAGGTCGTCTCAAGCAAGCTGGATTTGCTTCGCAGTAAGGTATTACTTCCCGGCTGTTCCGTGTAGCATTGTAGCGCTCATCTAATGTTCATCGTAGCACTGGCTGCTCGACGGCTTCCCGCGGACAGTTGGACAGGGCAAGCTGTTAGATGACCATTTAAAGTTCGGTTTCGCTATGTTCTACTGTTTTACCATGACGACTGAGCAACGCACTTTCGTAGACAGCAAGGGACTCCATTGAGTCTGATCGTTAACTTGGATGTTCCCGACGATGTCATTTTAAGCCGGATATCCGACCGCTGGGTTCACCTACCGTCTGGCCGCGTCTACAACCTGTCATATAACCGGCCCAAGGTGCAGGGCCTTGATGATGTGACTGGCGAACCTCTCACCAAACGACCCGATGACAACCCGGTACTTGACTCCTCTGCCTCTCGTATGCACCCTGTCACTGATGTGAACCACCACCACAGGCGGTGTTCGCCCACCGATTGGAAAAATTCTACGAATCAACATCGCCTCTACTTGAGTACTACCGCTCGCAACCTCCTTTGTACCGAGTGAAAATGGTCACATTGTCTGGTTCAACATCGGACGAAATCTGGCCGCAGCTCGAAAGCGTCGTCCGCGCGAACTTCCCCCACATTAAGGAGCGGGCGGAGAGCAGGGAGCAGAAGAGGCGGACAAGCTTGAGTGAAGCCGTCTTGGCGAGGGAGGAGGCTTCGGCGGCGAAGCTGAAGCGTTGATGTCTCGGTTGCACTTCGTTGTTGGATACATTCATTCGTTTCTATGTTGCCGCCTGGTTCTGCGATGGCCCTTACCCTACTGATCCGCCCATAGCCTGATGGTTTACCTGCTGCTACGATTGTCTGTATTACTAGCATGATCATTGGTACCTGGTTGCTACAGAGATTTACATGATTGCTTTTCTATGCATAGCCTGGACGTCCACCTCTGTCACCTCAAAGCATACCTGTCGAAGTGAAATCGTGAGTGGGTGGCGCCATTGGCGAACGTCAACCTCACATGTTTACGGCATATAGACCTTCGGGGAACCCGCGTTGCAGCTGTTGATGCACCAGTGTTAGGCCTGCATCCTTGAACGCCCTCTTCCATGCGAGGTCCGACCTTGGATGACAGGGTCAGAGGAGCTCGTAGGCGGATACGAAGCATATAACGGACCTCGTTATGCTCGAGTCGGTCTCGTCAAACACGCAGCGGGGTTGCCCATCTTCATCGGAGCAACAGTTTTCTTTCACGAAGATAAGACTTCTGTTAGGGTCCCGTAGGGAGCTACGACTCCGCCGCAGGAAGGCCACCAGATCGGAGTCGCTGAGAGTGCCTAGACACCACTGGCACCAGATCACGTCGAACGGCTCATCGAGGTCACTGCGATTTGGGACGTATCCAACGCGGTCCAAGAATGTTGGAGACGCCGACGGCCGACAAGGGTCAATGCCTTGCAGGGTATCCTGGATGAAAGATACGCTCTTCGCCTTCCCCGCGATGCCTTTCCATGGCGCGAACGTGGCATCCACCTTTCCGATCATGATCTCACTCGCGCGTCCCCTGGAGAGAGCTTCCTTGACCAGGCTCTCTACAGGCTCAACCAGGACGACATCAGAGACGAGGTGCAGGAGCACGTCCGCCGTAACCCGCCCAACACCTGCACCGACATCGAGTGCCCGAGTCCGGTGTGGTAGCTTTGTTGGAGCATTGAGCGGCCGGATTGCTGATGGCACTATGCTGAGCTCAGGCATGAGGTATAGGATGAATTGACGAGATCCAAGAGCATCGATTCTCGGTAGCGACTAGCACATCGGAGCAATTAGCATGTCTGATCATAAGGTAGAGACATCTACTCACTCCATTGCCAAACCCACCTATCCAATGCTAGTGTTATATTGCGAGCCAGTACCGGAGATTCGATCGCGTTGAAGGCTCACCCAAGACACCATTGTAATCGGCCGATTGACTCGCCCAGTAGTCGATACTGGCCTGTACATCGGGCTCAGGAATATCACTCTGTTTAATCATGTCTAAGAGAATGGTTTCTTCGTGATCAGTTGTAAGCCGCAGACCCTAAGGTGTATAGCTTACAGGTGACAAGTCAAAGTCTTCAGTGTTCAAACGTTCAAATGCTAGTGCTCACCGGTCTCCCGAGAATCATGAACGCCAAGACCGGTGACAAGACGCTGTGACAGGCGCGTCATGTACGCGTTACTGTACGCGTCGCGCGAACGCGCTCTTGACCGCCGCGCGCTCAAGCTCAACCACCATGACCTCTGTTGCACTCGAAGATATTTGGGATGTTCCCTTGGAAGAAACCCCTCGCAGAGTTCCCTCTAGGCCTTCCTCCCCAATCGACCTCACTACGGGCGACTCCCCGCGGCGCGCTTCCAAACGACCACGCTCGACGCTGTTCCTGGGCTCCGACTCTGAAGATGAGAGGCCTGCGCGCAGATCAGTCCCTCCACCCGTCGAGAAGTCGGAGATAGATGCTATGTTCGACAATTTGGACGCGGAGCCGGATGCGGTCGATGACCTCCCTCCGGCACTTGACCTCGACGCACTGAGGAGGCAAGAGGACGCGAAAAACGCGCAGATATATGGAAAACCATCCGCTCTTGACTTAGACACGCCGAGCACTACCGGAGACGTGGGAAGCTCGGGAAAGGCTGCAGGTAGCGAGAAGGAGAAGCAGAAGAGGAGGCCTCTGCCCAAGCTTGATGAAGCGAGGTTGCTTGGGCCAGATGGGATGCCCGCCTTGCTCAAACAGGCTAAGAATTTCAAACCCAAGGGGAAAGGCCACGAAGTGTGTTCGTCTCAAAAATTTATGCGACGTGCACTCATCGCGTAATGCATAGGCGACAGATCTTAATAGGCTGCTACAAGTCTACCAGTATTGGACGCATAAAATGTTTCCCAAGACACCGTTCCGAGAAACTGTTACTCGAGTCGAGAAGTTATGCCACTCAAAGCGCATGCACGTATGTGCATTCAATCTTCCGATTGCATGTTAATGTGAATTCATGGCCATGCCACAGGTGGCACTAACCGTCTGGCGTGACGAGTACAAGGGCATCAATACGGGCCACAAAGTTGATCCTGGGTCGGACGAGAGTAGTAGTGATGAAGAGGGCGCTGAACCCAAGCTCGATGCAACCGGCGTGCCAGACGGAAGCGAAGTGCCTGACGCAGAGCAAGCATCCTCGCGCCCGTCGTCTCACCCTCCATCATCTGAACCACCGTCTTCCGACGGATTCGATGATTTCGATATCGATGCCATGATACGCGAGGAAGAAGAGAGACGAGCAGCGGAGGAGAGCTCTACACGGATCGACATAGGCCGCAATAGCGTCCCTCAGCCCAAGTCTGCGGCCCAAGACGATGATGATGCCATGTGGGACGCGCTGGATGAGGGTGCCTCCCATACTCCTGGTCCTGCGCCCGCACAGTATGCTAGCATATCCAGTCATGCTGGTCTCCCCCCGGACGAGGATGAGGATATGTGGGATGTCATCAGGGAGATGGAAGCTGATGAGTCGAGCAAGGTTAGTGTGCCGTGGGCACCTGAGCTCACTGAGCAACTCGGAAAGGCAAGCGAGGAATCAGTCGCACCTGCAAAACCTGCGACGAACGACGAAGGTTGGGATGAAATGTATGCCTGATACGTATAGTTGTTGCATTCCTTAACTACTAGAGGGAGACTCGTTGCTGATGTGGAAGTACTCCGCTATCTGCTATGCAAACGATCCGTATTCCAGTCCGTTTCGCGACCGTCGCTCAATGTGAACCTTGTGAAGGACAACGGTGGTACTGCCAATGGGATACCCAGATAGTGCATACTTGTGCAATGCCAACAGGAAACGGGAATGCTACTTTGAATGTTTTATTGTAGTAAGGATTTACCCAGTTCAAGTCACTTTGCCGGAGTGGTTAACGGGATCGCCTGCTATTTATAGTTGTCAGCGGTTGGGCTTTGCCCGCGAGTGTTCGAATCGCTCAGGTGACGACATTTTGCTCCGCTTTGGAATGGTCTAGAGCGGCGGCCAGTGGAGATATGTATGATTCGAAGCCTCCGCCGCGCCCGTAATCTGCCTTCCAGCGCTAAGACAAGTGAGGTACCGAAAGAGCACGAACTAGTACTGTAGGGCTACATTAAAACCGACTACATTAAAACCGACTACATTAAAACCGACTACACTATACCCTCGCCGTGTGCACGCTGCCCGCGTGCATTTGAGTATTGTTTTCACCTACACACGCTAACCTTTTGGTGAGAGATGAGGCAGAAAAAAACGTTTGCTGCCCCAGTGAGGCTCGAACTCACGACCTTCCGATGTCTTCAGCAATGCTGAGTTCCGTCCTCAGTGAGGCATAACAGTCGGACGCTGTAACCAACTCAGCCATGGGGCATTTAAAAGTCCTTGTGGTGGCCAATACTTCTTCTGCAGCTAGTGCATGTACAACATGGAAGATTCTCTCCCGAAGGTTGCCTGAAGGCACCCAGGAGCTCTTATTTTATTTTTTATTAATTCTACGTGTTTAGAGCCCCACCTCAGGAGCTCGCCGCCGTATACAGCTACTTTCCGGTTAAGGGACATCGGTGTTGAATAACACTTCAATCCACTGACAGGTCCAGAAAGGGTTGACGGTGCCGGCCATGATGCATGCTGCACAGCCCTTACACTTTGTACCAAGTTCATTGGGAATCTAATTCCGGCTCAAATACAATCCAGGCTCGCCTCTCGCCCCGTTTGGACAGACCAGTCGCGCTGATCTCGATACATGACAACTTGGTCACTACTCCGAGGGAAGACAGGCTTAGACAGCAAACCGCAAGGAAATGAGTCAAAAGACTCGATCGATAAGTTCGCACTGTACCGATTGCCTAGCCTCATTCATGCCAGTGTGACTTAACGAGTCCAGTCATTGGTCTCCTCTCATCGACTGCAGGTTCGTGCCATTGTCCGTACAAGCGTGTTATGAGAGCCAGTAGGTGACAAGAGTAGTGACCACACTCCTGTCTCGCCCGCTTCAGGCGACAACCGTCACGGTCGACCTCCCTGGCAGGCCGTGTAATCAGTCCTCCAATTGCCCCATTTGCGCGGGATACGCCGGCACTGCGCCTTGACGGTGGATCATATGCCTCCTTAAGAACCCGCAGATTGACTACGACAACTGTACAGCGTCTTGTGCGAGGTATCATGGATCCTCGTGAGCAGCATTAACAGTTACACTTACTACTTACATCTGAGCTGCTTTGCACAAACCGCGTTGTGTGTTGCTCGGTGTCCTGGTCACTCGCATGGTCATAATATGGTGATCATGTTCCTTCGGATATCAGTGTTCTTGCGCAAGCATCATTTCGCCGGAGAAAGCCCTGCCACGATTGGGTTACATGAGGTTATGTAGGCTGATCCACATGTTGCTCAGTCGGCAGAAACATGCTGATAGACAGGAGCACGCACGATAATACATGAGCGACTGTTGAACGACGACCCCACGTTTGGATTAATTAGTACTGTGTTGTGCGATAAATTGCCTGGTGTATTCCACGAATCGATCGACGTCTGGTTCGGTGACAGCATTGTACAATGATACTCGGACCCCTGTATACATCAATATCAGCGTCCTTCGGGAATGATCCTTGCGCCAGTTGGACCAACCTCCCACAGATCTGCAGCGAACGCTGTCAGCACATACGTTGGATAGAGAATGAATTGCCGTCGCACCTGTGGCCTTTCAACCCCGTCATGCGTGCTTGCTCGGCACCTGCAAGGAACTCCTTCTCGGCATCCTGACCGACCACCTCGAAGACAACGTTCATCCAGCTGCCCGAGCCCTCCTTTACCTTGGGCTTGAATACGCCCTTCTCCTGGCCCTCCCGCAACACTTCATACACTTTCTCCGCTTTCCGTTTGTTTGTCTCCTCGTAGTGCTTCAAGCCACCATGCCTCTGCATACGCTCGAGCACGAGACCAGAGACATACATTGAGAGCACCGCTGGCGTGTTATACAAGCTTCCTGAGTCTGCGAGGGTCTTGTAGGACATCGTAATCGGGACGGGTGCAGCGCCGAGTTTAGCGGCGGCATCGACGTCTACGATGCAATCTTGCCGGACGATGAGGATCGTGAGGCCTGCAGGACCAATGTTTTTTTGAGCACCAGCGTAAATGATAGCATGGTCAGCGAGATGCGGGATGGGGCGACACATGAAAGACGAGGAGTAATCCGCGACAAGTGGCACCAGGCCGCCGTCCTTGCCCAGGAGTTGGAATGGGAAGGACGCCGGCGACACGTCCTCATGCGAGAACTCCACGCCGTCCACGGTCTCGTTCTCGCAGTAGTAAATTAGGGCGGGGTCCTCAGTAAACTTGTATGCGTCGTGCGGCGGGATGCTGTCGAACGCTTTCTCGCTCTCCGAGAACCCGCGCGAGTCGACGACGACGTTCACCTGCGCCCCGCCGAGTCGCCGGGCCTCTTCCGCAGCCTTCTTGCTCCAGGAGCCTGTGATGACGTAGTCTAGCACGGTCTCCTCCTCCGTGCGCTCGGGGTGCAGCAGGCGGTAGCGGGCGAGCATGTTAAGGACGACGGCGGAGAACTGCATCGAGCCGCCGCCCTGTGTGAAGAGGATGTAGTGCGTCGACGGCACAGAGAGCTGCGTGCGGATAAGCGATTCCATGTTGTTGACGAACGCCTGGAACTCCTTCGAGCGGTGCGAGAGCTCGGCGATGCCTATGCCTGTACCCTGAAAGTTAAGGAGCCCTTTCGACGCCTCCTCGAGGACTGACACGGGAAGCGCGGATGGGCCTGCGCCGAAGTTGGCTACTCGAGCATGGTCCGAGCTCATAATGTTCTACGATGGGGATTGTCGGTGGGCGGGCGAGAATGGTAGAAGAGGTTTGGAAGGACGCACCTATAGTCTGGAGCGCTCTGATCCCCAGATTCAACGTGCAGCACCAGTCGGGAATTATAGAAGTCTTCGTACGGTTTCAAAAGACTGCCCTGTGTCGTGAAACGACCAGAGATGCTCATCGACTAGGCACAAGCACCGTCTAGCTGTGACTCGACCAGAATCATGCAGGGGCGCGGTCGCCCTCTGGAGTCGAGGCTCATCATAATGACGACAGTATGTTCCGCAGGTGGCAAGCCTCGAGCTCAGCCTGTAGAGCGAAAATCTCGCTTCGTCGCGGCCGCTCAAAACTATGCATGTTCCTTGCGCTGGCCGTTGAAGCTGAAGCTCGAGGCCGGCTAGGTTGGACTGGATGGAAAACGGTGAGATTCCCACCGATATCTCGCATATAAGCACATGGTTCATGATTTCCGTGTAGAGGTCGTACAAGTACATCCGGTCCAGAGCCGGATACAGCGACTATAAGCAGAGCTACGCGTAGAGAGTACGTATTCGACAGCGCGTCCGTGGTGAGACATGAAGGGCGGTGAGCAAAGGGATCAGTAAGCGTAAGCAGTATCTGTACAGCGACCAACGCGAAGCAGGTGAGCGGGGGCTAGCGAGAACGGCGAGACTGTAACAGGAACAATAACGATACGTATCGGACAGCATGAACGGGACAGTGATGGTACAGCGACTCGAGAACACAGAGGGTGGAGTCAAACAGGAAACGAACAGGGGACATCCAAGGATCGAGCAAGCGATATCGCAAGAATGGCGTCGGCCTCAATCCGACAGACGGATATCGATGGCAGATTCTTGGTGAAGGCGAAGATGGAAGCAGAATGAATAAATCAAGTGCTGCGAGACTTGACAAGGCAGCACGGATAGGTCGAATAGGCGAGGCCGTGGCTAGGGGCGAACAAGAGCCAAGGAATTAGATCGAGGGCTTGTACTCGTATATCGATTGAGTATGGGTGGACTGGCGAACATTCGTAAGTCATCTGGTCGATGAATTGTTGCGGTAGATAGTGAGGATGGAATAAGGGGCCAATAGAGGCTTGAATAGATTAGAGGACATGTCAGGCGTTATCGGAGCGATGTGGAAGACGGTCGCAACGTTAGTCGTATCGTCCGGACAGTCGCGAAGGGAGCGCGTGGGACGGTCGCCCGTCGTCGAAGCTGTTGAGGACGGGCTGAAGACCACAGAAATGGACATCGGATGGCGTGAATGCCTCCCTGACGGGCGTCCGTGGCGTAGACGGGATCCGATCAGCGGGCAGCAGCGCGTACACGGGCAGCTCATGCAGGTCAGGAGGCGAATAATCGAGGGCCCTGTTGGATGAATGCGCGAGGGGGTTCGATCGCAGTGATGTCTTGCGCGTCCGTACAGGGCCGCTGCTCGGTGGTTCTGCGCGCATACAGTCACCCTCAGGTATGGATAGGTCGGCGATATCCATGGGCAGCGCGCCGTCGGGCGTCTGGTCGAGCTGGGAGATCCATGGGATGTGGTCAAAGAAGGCAGGCCCCGGAAGAGGGGACATAGGACACTCGGTCCTCAAGCAATGGCGGCGTCGAGGTGAACGGACAGCGTTGAAAGTGATGTTGCGACGTCTCTTGCTGATCGCGCTACATGACGAGGTCGCTTTGGTGGGCTGTTGCCGCGTCAGTGGATGAAACGCATCCAGGGGCGCTGGATCTTACCTGAGACCTGTTGGCGCGAGGATCAAAGAGATCGACGGGAGTCGAAAGCCCAGGGGGACTGAAAAGCCGTCTCTGCGGGAGGACGCGCTGATGGGATGTGATAAGTCGGTGGATCCAGGAGGGCGCGTTGGCGCGTGAGTACTCACCTGAGTGTCTTGTGGATGGGCGGATGGAGTTGCTGGTCGACGCGACGAGGAGAGCATACGCGGGTTGAGGGCGGGACGCGGCTGCGGCGAGACGATAGGGGCGACCATGGCGGCGGCGTTGCGACGTGTTCTACAAGCGTTGAGGCGAAGAGGGGCTAAGGATACAGGTGGAGAGATCGTTGCAGTTATATAGGGTCGAAATTAGGTGGAAAGAATTGACATTGACCAAGGCGGGCTGAAGCCAGGAGAGGGAACAATGGGGGAAGGTGAGGCGGGCGGGCAGACGGAGACAGCGACCCTAAAGAGGGGCCGAGGATGCCGTGCGCCGGACGAGCGGTGCGGATCTACCAGACGCGGGCAAGGTGACACCGTTTAAGCGTGTGAACGGAACTCTCGTCGCCAGATGCCCTTGAGACACAACTAGATGAGAGAGCGACGAGCTGCTGGTCTTGATAGGGGTTCTCGCGAGGCGGGGGAGAATAGGATTGCGGGTCTTGTCGAGACGGTTGCGTTGCGGACGCGAGTTATACAAGCCCGCTGGAGGCGGTTGCGAAGCGAGAAATAAAATTTGGGAGAATCTGAAAAATGCGGCGCATCCAAACTAGGCAGGTCCGATCGCGTATACCTGCGTCGTCACATCCTGATGTCACGCGTCTTCCTCCGTCCCGCCG